CCCCTCCTCACCCCCTGCAGATCGGCTTTGCTGTCCTACACAGGAGGGGACAGGGACACATACTTGTTGAATCCTCCCAGGCACCAGGCGCTGCGCTAAGCGCTCTGCGTGCGTCTTCTCACTTAATACCTGCAGCCACCCTAGGGGGTTCTATTATCGTCCCCATTTTACAGGTGAGGAAGCGGACTCAGAGAGGTCATGTACCTTGTCCAAAGTCACCCAGAAGGCGGAGGTGACCCCAAAGCCCCCACTCTTTCCCTGATAGCACATGGCTTCCCAGAAGCAAGAAGCTGGCACAGAAGCGGATGGGGGGAAGGTCAGATATGAGAAAGAACTTCCCGATAATGTTTCGTGTGGCGGAAGGAGGCAATGGAATGGGGACTCTAGACAGGTAAGGAAGCCTTTCCTCCCCACCCCACCCCATCCCCGTTGTCACCTGTGTCTGTCCAAAGGCTCGTGGTGATCTCAGAAATGTCCTTGGGTCCAGATGGCAGCACACTGACCTCCCTTCGTTCTACAATCCAGGGTCCTCAGCTCCACCCCAACCCAACCCCGAGACCCCAAAGGCTTTTTTGTGGCTCAGAGCTCTAAGCATCCCATCCAAGCTGTCAGCTCAGGTCCTTCTCTTCCAGGAAGCCTTCCTTGAGGTCCTGGAAGCCCAGATCCCAACACTGAGGGTGCAAATGCCTGGTGTCTACAATAAGGCCCACGCCTGCAATCATCTCCCCCCCTGGCTCTGGGACACAGACACAGAAAAGATCTACTCAGTCCCAGGCTGTCCAGGGGACCCCTGCCCACCCTTTCACCCAGGCACGTCTGTAGCCAGATGAGAATAAATGATGAGGGTGCCGGGATCGCAGAAGGCCCAGGCTCCAGGTCGGCTGCGGGTGACCCCTGCCTCCTCTGTCCGCAGAAGCGGCTGGGGTCACGCGGTCACTGCCCACGGTGGGGAAGATGCTGCACTCGTGAGTCGAAGGGGCCCCCCACTCTTGCCGTCCCCTCCTGCTGTCCCCCCGAAGGCTGCGCGCCCAACGCCCAGCCCGTCCTTCCCCATCCCTCGGCGCCTGCCGAGCCCCAGGGAGGACCAGCCGGAACCCTGGAACTTTCCCAGAGTTCGTCGCGCCCCACGGGTGCCCGACGTGGCGCGCAGAGCCTCGGGCATCCTCACCGCGCCCCGGGGCCGCGGGGTTCTGGGAGGGGGCCCG